TTGCGAGCGCAAATTACTGCACGCAAAATTGGATCTTGATAAATCCGGCCCTGTGAGTACAAAATGACAATAAAATCTAAGTCTAAGTATAAAATCACTTGTAGTATTGACAGCTGAATCAGCGGTTGCAGACTGGTACCAGTGGAACTACCTAATGTTAAATGTGGAGAAATCATAGGAGATGGTGGTGGCCTTTCAAAGGTGCATAAAGTCATTTAATTAATTGTGATGTTTGCTTTGCTTTTTTAATTGTGAAACGCTTTTTGATTTTATCTGTGAAAGGAGTATTATGCATAAAGCTTTACTTTACTTACTTTAATTTCTTACCTTCTCTGACTTTTAATGGCCTCAACCCTTCTTTGTCATCTGGATAAGCTTATAAGGGGACCAGCTATGTCCTAGAATGCCCCTGGCACTAGTGCAAGCAGCATGAGACAAAAGTTCAGTAACAAAAAATACTATTACTGTATCACACCCATTGCATCTAAGAGGCTAAAAAGAGCACATCCACAGATCCTTCCTCTCAGCTGCCATTAAAATGTATAATTACTGCTGCTCCCAACAAATTGAGTCAATGTTTGCATATATGCTACTAGTTACAGGTTTTTGATTCGATCAGTAATCATTTACATTACCCTAATATCAAGATTATTCAGGAAAACATGTCAACCCATAATAAATATTAGTGTAAAATGTATTTGGCAAGTACAATCAGATTTATGAAAATAACCTTCATTTATTAACCCAATGTTCTGAAAGTGAATTCATAGTTTTGTCTGGATACTGATGATTTGCGCCATGTAGTTGTTTATTTAAACCTCGAGGAAGAGCAGCAGTTGTACCATAGCTGCAGGCATCAAAAAATGAGCTACAGTAATTATCAATGTCATACCTTCAGTACAGTTAAATGAAATTATCATGATTTTGAAGCCTAACTTTAATTTCAGCAAAGAATTGCAGCAACTAAATGTCCTAAATAAGACAAACATGAGCATTTAAATATTAATTGAATAAGTTATGTGTTTAATTTCCATCCAGTGGTTTAAACAATCCGTTACTTTAATGTGGTGAACCAGGAATCATATGCCTGCCCTGGGAGAGGGAGGGAAGACCGTTGGGTATGCTCACAGCTGCCGAGGCTAGCTGGTGCTGAAAAACTCTTTTTCTAAATTAGGTTAGATCTTAATCAAAATAATAGATATTTAGGTTTATCTAACCTCTTTTTTTTTGTTTGGTTGGTTTTGTTTATTTACTTGCTTTTTGTCTTACCATCCAACAAAAAGGCCCACTAATCACAGCAAATATAGCTGCAAGGCAAAGAAAGGATAGTGAAGCTCCGCCCAACGCGCGTCAGACACACTTTTGTACCGCGCAGCCGGAGCAGCAAAGCTGCTTCAGCAGTGTGTCAGAACTAACTGGTACAAGCAGCAAAAATGAAGCAGCAGACGCATGAACATAGCATTACTTTGAACGGCCGGTTCACACCGATGTCGAGCGGTTGAAGTTCCTTTGTCAGACCTACCGGAATAACAGCAAGCACAGCGTTTATTTGTTTCACCATGTTTTTCACAGCGGCTGTGAGATGGGCACGCATGGAGTCACAGATTAACAGCGATGGTGATCATGGAAAAAACCACCTGGTCTCCTTACATTCACCTCCCTCAGCCACTCTTTCATCATCTCCTCAATGAGGAGATGAGGATTAGATTAGAAATTAGATTAGATGAGATTTATTGATCTCACAGCGGAGAAATTCACTCGTCACATATTGGCATAGAAGTCACAGAAGGTGCAAACAAGGAGGAGTTCTGCATAAAGCACATACCTGTTCTTTAATACACAATCCACGCCCACCCTTCCCCCTTTAATGTTCTCATGGTGGTCTCAAAGGTCCGCAGTAACAACACACATAGGGCGCACCGCACTATAGGGCGCGCTGCACATTTTGAGGGGAAAAAAAGACGTTTATATGTGCCTTATAGTCGTGAAAATACGGTTCCTTAGCTGCGCAGCCCCCATTTGAAAATCCTGGATCTGAACCTGAATGAGACACTGTTAAATGTTTAAACCTGAATGGGTATTTAAAGTGATTTATTCAATAAATAAATCACAGTTGCATTTCCTGTACATGCCTTTATTTCTGATAGAAAAGTCGGATTATTTATCATACATTTATTGTTATTGAGGTAAAATTGCCCAATTTATCGTGATATGGATTTGAGGTCGTATCGCCCAGCCCTAACACATGTCATCTCAAGGCACTTTACATAGACAATTTTATTTGATCATATTGTACAGTCAGATTGGTTCAAAATTAGTTTAGGAAAGACAGTTGATTGCACCGAGTCATTGACTTTGTAGGATTTGCTTCTCCTAAATGAGCATAGTGCAACACTCTCTTGCTTTGTGTCATTGACTGGAGAAATCCCTCACTCCAACCATGCATGCAGCATTGACAGAAGAGCGGGGGGGGGAAATCAAAGAGCAGGAAACCTGCAGTAGTACCAGGCTCACCCCAAAATAACACATTCTCCGTAACCTCCCCCCGCCACTCCGCTCTGCTGCCTACAGCCTCCTCTGCTCCTCCCGTCTTGCTCCGCTCTGAATTCCCCGGAGTTTGAGGAGAGCATGGGCGATATTATTAAATTAAAAGCAGCAAAACCTGTGGAAATGAAACTGGGTTTCCGTGGATCATAAAAATCAATGCAAGTAATTAAATTATTATTTATTAAGTTAAGGCATTAATTGGCACTAAAATTCATTAAATGTGAATATCGTGGCATTTGAAATGCTTTATTTAAAAAAAAAAATGTTTATGAAAACATTGCGATTAATTTGAACGTAAAGCCGTATGTGTTCGTAAAAGAAGCTTGAGGTGGAGAAAAAGCTAATTTTAACAAAAGTTGCTGGAAAACGAGGAATTGGAGACATGGCCGCAGCCTGTCAACAGTAAAGATTATGGATTCTGCCGTGTTATTTGTGAAAGAGCATGAAAGAGCATTAAAAACCATTAAATTAGAGTTACTCATTTCTGTATAAACCCTGTGAACACTTAATTTATTATGACATATCAAAAAAATCCCCACCATCATCCAGCACATGTTCAGTTTCTACCCGTATATTTTCTTTTTGATGTGGATTTTTGTAACAGGGATAATTCGGATCATACATGTTTTTTATGAACAATGTTTGTTCTCCACTTCCAAACTCAGCATCTCTTCATCAATACCTGCAATAAGAAGTTTCTTTTGAAGTTGTGAAAGGTGCTCATAGAAGTTTTGAATGGATTTGATTAAACTTTTAAGCCTCTCGGTATAAAATGAAAAATTTGATGGAGATGATAAGTCTGCTTCCTGGTATGTTGAAGCACCAATAGTTTGCATCCAATGATTTAATTAAACGGTCTTAGTTTTTGGGAATATATAAGAACTTTGCTCTAATTTGTAGTTACCAATCTGTCCCTACCATATTTTAATTTGACAAACCGGATCTTCTTCACGTTGTTTTTCCTGTTTAGTGCGATTGCAATTGCGGATCTTGACCTGGCAGAATCGGAGCGGAGCAAAAAATAGCTTGGGTCCATATTTTGAGGTTGACGGAAGGAGAAGGAGTACGTGGACGGTGATGTGCGAAGGAGTAGCGGTGGATGTGTAACAGCTCTCATTGATTTACATGACAGACAAGTACTCCGCACGACATATGTGAGCGGGGCGGAGTGGAGTGCTGACGGAGTATGTGGAATCTGGGGGTCAGTGCCAGAGACCTTCTGTCGAGGCCGACTGGAAGTTCAAAGAGACAGAAGCAGACATACAGGAGGAACATAGAAGCATTGATCCATAAATACTTTCTACGTAAGAAGAGCTAATGGTAAACTTTTAAGGTGATGGATGTGGTTGTGGACCCAAACACAGAGTAGAAGGAGGCAGAGATCAGTTTTTGCTGATTTAATGAAAGTGCAAAATGCAACAGAAGCAAAATCCAAGAACAATTACAGTAAAACAAAAACCAGGAGATGACAGGGGAAAACACACGAGGAGTAAATCAATGACGAGAAACCAGCAATGAGGAGCTTCGCAAGAGGAGAAAAAAGACAATGCTGATCAGTTGACAAGGAGCAGGTGTGGATGAAAATGACCAGGAGCTAGGGGAAAGGAGAATGGCACAAGGGGGCAACAGAGAGCAACACAAAAAATACAACACTGCCAGAAAACAACCTCAATGACACAAAATCAGAGTGAAACTAAAAAAGAGACCTAAATAGAAGTCCACAAATAACAGAACCATGACAACTCTTGGGAAAAACAGTAAAACTAAGACCTTTGCAATGTCTAAGTTTAAAACAGCACTAAACACTGGCCTGAAAAAGCCTAATGCAAAAGATTATGCAGAATAAAACCCAAAAAAACAGAATTTTATGAAATAAAGCATTCTCCTGATGATAAAGTGCGATATCCTACTATAAAGAAAATAATTTTGACACCTGTGGAATTTCATTTTGTTTTCTTGTTTTTTGTTTAATTGGATTCAAGATTAATTAGGAGATTGCCTCCTTTATGACAGAAAATGATCCCGCAATAGAAAAATATCAAGTTGTAATGCTTATACCCTATTTTAATAGCAAAACTAAAGCAAAGAAAATATAGGTTTTTCTAGTTTCATAACTCTATTATTGGTTCAAGACATCTATTTTGAAGACTTACCCTTATTGTAAATAAGCTAGATCATCAAACTATCGGTGGGGATAAGAAAATCTTCCTAGCTTCTGTTACTGTTACAAGTTTAACAAACACAAGCGTGACTTACAGCACCCGAAGTGCAGCTCTACCTAATAAAAAATCTGGTCAATATAAATATATATATATATATATATATATTATTTATGTCACTTTTGTTTCTTAAAAAAGCTTTAGTGCAACTTCATGTTAACAAAGTCTCCTTTAATAATTTTCCCTGATACAATCATTTTAAAGGCTGATCTGAACCAGCTATAAAAGAAACCATAGATAAATGGATTTAGTGTAGAGTTTGACAGTCCAAACCATGTGACTGTTTCAATTACAGGAACTGGTGCTGAATTATTTCCTAAAGGTTGAAAAGTTAAGAAAAAAAAGAAAGGAGCCCAGCAAAACAGAAAAACTCCTAAAACAATAGCCAGAGTTTTGGTGGCTTTTCTCTCCATCTTACTGACAGTTGCTCCAGGCTTTGTTCTGGTTTGGATGCTGCGTACCTGTCTCTGTGCAACAACAAATATCTTCAGGTAAATGCAAATCATTATGAGAATAGGAACATAGAATGACAGTAAAGGTGCAACAATGTTTGCCATGATAACATCAATAAAGCACATGTCCTGACAGTCATCATTGGTAGATCTAGTTTGTACAACAGCGATGGCAACGAATACAGAAACACCCCAGCTCACAGCAATCATAATGAAGACAACATGGCCATTGATTTTAGATTTATATGTTAGAGGCTGACACACTGCGTGATATCTGTCCAGAGAAATACAGCAGAGATGCAAAATAGAGCATAGGCTGAACAATATATGAAGGCTGTCTCTTATCTTACAAAATAAGCTGGCATTATACAAACATGAACTAAGAGAAAAAAACATGCTGAAAGGAAAAACTAACAGCCCAACCAACAGGTCAGCCACAGCCAGGGACACTATGAGGATGTTAGTAGGAGTGTGCAATTGTTTAAAGTAAATTACAGCAATTACCACAAGGAGGTTTCCACAAACGGTGACAAGAGACAATAGAGTTATGAAACCATATAACATCACACATACAGCTGGATAAGAGGTGCTTAGTTTATAATTCAAATGTTCCAATTCAAAACAGGCATTTAAATTAATCACAGTGTAATTCCTGTTGATTCTATTGTGTGTGTTCATGATGAGCAGAAAATCTAATTCAGTTTACATAAAAAAGACATTTCAAGGATGTAGCATATACATGATATCAGAAATTCCTCAGATAGAGACTGAGTGATGTTTCTGTGTATTTTCAGATCAACACTCAGCATGTTACAGCACAGGGCATTGTTAGATTCTGAGCTACATCAGCCTCCGTGCATGAATGTTGTTGACAATCCTCTAAACCTCTTAAGGGATTCGCAAAGGTTGCCCAATAAGAAGGAGGAACCTGATCCCAACTTACATGGGAAATTTTGACAGTAAGGCTCTGTGGATGCTTTCTAAAGCCATTTTCAAGTATTCATTTAAACTGTTTTCCAGCACTGTCTTTACAACTCTATTTGGTATAAAACCACATTTGTTAAATAGCTAACTTAATTACTTTTATTTTGTTAAATCTCTCTCAAAGTAAAATGTCAACCCAGGAAAAAAACATACACTTATCTTCCTTTTTATGATTTATCACAGTATTTAAAACTAAAAAATTGCTTGACTCATACTACGTTCCTTTGGAAGAGCATTTAAAATTTTTTGTAACAATTAAAAACAAAGCTTTTTTGTTTATTTTTTCTTCCACAACTTCCAATTTTCTCTAACAACTTTCAATTTATATATTATTCATCCATCCCCAGCAAAAAAGGGATGCTTCTGGAGGACGGCTGGAGGCTGGCATGTTCTTGTTCTGAAGGGGGATCTCTAAAGGGATCAGAGTGTGGAGAAAAAAACACTAACTGGGTCTGACTGGAGAAAGGACACTAAGAGGAGCTGACTGTGGAGAAAAGACATGGAGAGGGTCTGACTCACTAGCTATGACATTAAAAGGTTTGGACTGAGCAGCTCTCAAAGAGACTTGAATTGTTCTAATGCAAACAACAGAGTAAAACTTTGCAAGGCTTAATTTTGATTCACTGTAGTCCCCTAAAGGCTGTGAATAGCTACCTATCTAACTATGTAGATAGGCAGGTGTAAAATATGTGACGATAAAAAGTATGTTCAGGTTGAGTTTCAACATTTGATTTGCACTCAGGTATAGGTAATTTACAATGCTGTGTTTAACTTCTAAAAGCTTGTGACGGATGATTGAATTACTAACCTTTCGGCAGGTGGAATTAGCGAAATGTGTGTGGAAGAACTATCTAACAAAACAAACCCTAAAGCCGGGCATACACTGTGCAATATTTTCAATCGTTGCACGCAGCTACAGGTAACACCTTATGACCAAACCCCAGGATTCAAAAGTTCATGAGCTCACAATGTATGTTCTCACAGTGTGCGACCCAACGCTCTGATGCGATCTACCTCCTGACACTACACATCTAAAAACCATGGCAGACTCAGCTCCGCAGTGAAGTGGCGCTACTCGGACTCATCTATCCAGAAGCCAAACGAATAAAAGAGGAATATTAAGCTCACTAGAAGGAAACGTGCTGCCTTGGCAGTGTCATGATTTTACTAAGGTCTGACCCAAAAAGCAGAAAAACCAATACAGAGAGAAACCAGGGAAAAGTTTAACAGGTTTATTGAGGAGATAATGCAGAATCTAATGTTGCTCTGAACACTGCTTAACTGGAACTGGAAAGTGAGGGGAAGACAATGCGGTTAGTTCAGGCTCAGTGGGAAATTTGATTCTTGAACTTGAAGAGAAGAATAAGTTGCTGACACACGTTTCCAGAAAAGTGGTTGACTCTTTCGCTCCAGTCTGTGTGCAGTAGCTACAGTGTTTGTCTCATTGGGTGGAGGGCAGACAGGGTTTACCCTGAATGTGGTTGTTTGTAGGTGAAAGGAGAAACTGACTGCCATTTGGATTTCCTGCGTGGTTGAACAGGTTGGTGTGGAGACTAACCCCTTGCTCAGTGTGAAGATCAAAAGATCCCTTGGAGGAAAGTAGATCCAAACCTCCAGTTTGAATCCCCAGCTCAGTTTGAAGCTCAGATGATCCTTCCAGGGAGAGAAGGTCCAAAAACATCCAGTTTGCAGGATGACTTCCTGCCAAGAGGCAAAGACAAAAAAACTTGGTTAGAACTCAGGTTGACAAAACTCAGTTTGACTCAGTAAAAACTCTTGGCTAGAGTACCCAAAACTGGCAAACACTCTGGCGTCAAGGTAGTAGCAGTCAGCAACTTGAGAGCACTCTGTTAATGAGGTAACCCTCCGCAAGTGTGTGAGGAGGTGGACCAGAACCAGGCGCATCCTGGTGGAGGAAGGAAGACAAACACAAAAACACAAACCACACAGACAGGAATCCTAACAGGCAGTTTGTAAAATTATGCAGAAAGCCCTAAAAAGAAAAGGCAACAACGTATTTGCATGCCTGAGCAAACGTGGCTTCTATGGTCTGTCAATTTTACAGAAAGAACTCCATTTTATTCGCATCCCCGCCATGCTTCTGTGTTTTCATCTGAGAGGAAAAAGAAAATAGAATCCTTGTTTGAGCAAGCCCACTGAGCAATTCGCCCAGGACACCCGACTGAATGTGAAATATGTTTCATTTTCTCCCGACCTCAAGATTCCTGATCGGGAGATGGTCATGAGAGGCTGATTGCCCCTAGTTACCCCCTGTTTACTACACGATGCATGATGTACGATCAGCCTGAAAGTCGGCCCGAAAAATTCTCGCATGTCAGGAAAATTGGCCAAAAAAATTGTACAGTGTATTCCCAGTTAAACACATGAAAAGATAAATGCTGTCTTTGGATGTCCCTTTAGAAGTGGCAAAGATGACATACAAACTGTACAATTAAACTAAGTTTTCAAACCTATAGCTTCAATATCACCACTCTACAAATATCCCTTAAACACTGTTTATCCACAATTAAAAAGTACAAACAATAAGACAAAGTTAAGAAGAAAACTCCTTAAAACAGGTATAGATGTTATTCAAATACCCACCACCAGTAGGAGAAAGAGGGCTTCAATTAGAAAATGGAAAGTGTGGTTGAAATGTCCTCTTATGAAATCTGTGCTGCAGTCAATTCAAAGTAATCAGTTATAACAGCTCTTACAGAATAACAGTGTTGTGCCAGATGCCATGATCATGGTTTTTGGACATTGGGAACCAGTGACCATATTTCATCTTGACATGATGACCAGAGAAGACCTGGGGTCTACTGGTTCTCAAGCAAAATGGAGACCAAGGCCCAAAACAACCCAGATCTTCAGAGTCATGAAGGATAAGTCATCATGGTGATCTTTCAGAACCAAGCTTCTGCAAAACAGACTTTTTGCAACACATTTCTATTGAGTTTCAGAACTTATAGTAGGGAGTGTGTTCATAAACAATATATAACAGCCGAAATAATATCCGATTAAATAAGATATTTACCACCCCTGCTGTGAAGGGCAATGAAGATCTTAAAGTATCAGGAATATAAATTCCCAGCTCGCAGGGAATTGAATAGAATATAAACCGAAAGATTTAACTCCCAACAACAGAGACCACAAAAACAGACAACGAGCTGGAGCCTAAATCTCCAATACGTGGACTGTATTGGGATTTCTGAAATCTAATTAACTGGCGGTTAATTTTTACTTTTCACTAAACTCTGCAACAACACAGATACACAAGGCTTATTACAGCAGGGTCAGCGTTCTTAGTAATTTCAACCTAAAAGCAATGAATGATGAATGGATCATTATTTATTCCTAAAATTAATATTTTTGCAGTGGTTTAATGAATTTAGCGTTGATCAGTAATAAATTTAAAAATAATCATTTTCATTGTGATCACTGAGTCTGGGAGCGGCCATTTTTTCCCAAATATAGTAACACCTCACCCCTGATATCTTCCGGCAGTGACGTCACGGTGCGGTAAGCCTAGCACAATTCTCCTGACTTTACATGCAAAATAAATGGGAACTACTAGACACATCTGCAATCAACAACAATTATTGAAGATTTCCAGAGGACTTCACCTTTGAATTTCGAGGGAACTATAGTTAAACTGACAAAGCCCACTTGCATGGCTGTTGGGTGTTGTAATACATAGGGTAAAAAAAAAAGTTGTTATTTCACCTTTCCGATTCATGATCCTCCACGGACGGGTTCGTCATTGGATTGCCAACTTGAAGAGGGAGGATTTGCCACCAAACTTCTGGCCAGAGACAAACCTTATAATATATATCCAACATTTCGAAGAAAATGTTTTCAAGGTGACTTGGATAATAGCGTGTGGTGAAACATACCAGACACAGCACTGGGACTTGATCAACAGCTGATACCGCACTGTGACATCACAAACCGGTATATGGCAGTAGTGTTCTTTAAAAACATGGATGTCTCTAGCAAAGCTCATTCAAATTAAATTAGTCTTAATTAAATACTTTTATCATTTATTAAACAGTATATAATAATTACATATTTAAAGTACTTTCAGAAGTTTGAATTCTTAATATGACCAGACTTTTGCTTTAAATATGTTATTTATACAGTTACCGTTTCAGGCCAACCAAGGTACGGAAATAAATGTTTTGCAATTTCACTATAGGATTATGAATATATAAAATCTATAGATTTGGGAGTTGAAGTCAATAAATATGTCATTCATATTGAGGGTAAAACAGATTAAACATTATGAGTTCTATGATTACAACTATAATTTGCTTATTCACCAGGGTTCTTAGTCTTTCCATAAAGGTTGGACTCCTGTATTGGCTGTTAAGATCCAGTTGCCTTGACCAATTTAGTAGTTTAGCTCATGGCTATCGGCAGAGTTTTTAACTCACCAACAACACAAATCATCTCTGCTCATTCATATATATACTTAAAGGACACTGGATCTGACCTGAGTGATAAATCGTTCTCTGTATAATTTAACCACAAAAGACGGGTTAAAAGACAACAGTACCTAATAATTACACAGTATTATTATATCTATTAAGCTAAGGTAAATTAAAGCAAACAAAAAGGGACTCACAATATGGCTGCTACCATAGGGTAGCAGCCATATTGTAGCTTGGAGCTAACAATGGTGGCAGTAGCCTAACCAATAGGTCACGGTCCCCTGCTTTAAAAGAACCTGTGAGGCACGGGCTGCTAATGGCTCCCAGGTAGACAGCATTTGGGCCCGGATGTTCCATGGGTAGATCAGAACTGAAAAGTTTCTCATCTCCTTTAATGGGCGGGTTTACTAAAAACTGTGTTTAACCCTGTTTGAAACAGGAAAAACAAGACACTAGGTTAAGCTCTTCCGATACTGAGGCAGCCAGGTAAAACCGAAGCTTCTCTGGAGGGTTTTTTTTTTTTGGCTAAGCCAGAGCCTTGAGCTGAGAGCAGGCATTTGTCTGTCTCTTTTGAGGCCAGAAAACTGAAGACAAGTGACAGTTTAGACAATTTCCTGATTCACATATTTTATAAAACATCTGAACTGCCCGTTTGTTTTTTTTTTTGTTTTTTTTTATGGCTTAATGAGAGAAGTGGGCTTTAGGCTGCCCTGCAAGGCTTTTAAAACTTGGTTTGAATGGCGACAAAGCCATTCTTTCATGAGCCTGGATCGATATGTATTTTTGATTATGTTCATGGTGGGGAATCCTGCTTCACAGCAGCAGGTTGGGCCAAACATACTCAAAATGTGCAGCATTGAGCACACCATGTCCCCTTTTTTTCACTAGTTCCGCAGCTTTTTCAGCAGTCCACACTTTCTTTTTCCCCTATTCTCCTTCTTTCCCATCGCCCGGCTTGCCACAGGTTTGCGTGCTGTGTCTAGACGTAGCTTGCAGCATTGACCTTAACTGACCCAGCTCATTGGCTAATTTATATCACCTTTAGCCTGGTCCCGGACGGCTTTACCATATTAACAGGAGTAGTGGAGCAAGTAAAGTTAGACACTGTCGTCGGACAACATGCCATAATTTATAAATGTTTTTAATTAGGTTGGGTCTGGATTAGCGAGCAGGTGGGTCCAGATCTGGACCGCGGTCCGATAATCCGTGAATTCTGCTCTACAGCCTCTACACTCCTCTACATACTACGTGTATTCATTCAGATTCTGGATTCATTCTGAGATTGGTTTGTCAAAAAACATGAATATACATAAACATATCTGCACTCTAATGATCTTGTTTTTAACAGTGTAAAGTTATTGTACAAATAAATGTTTTGCTAAAAATCAAAATCAGTCTCTCTCTTTTTATTTTGGGAACACCGCTTTCTTGCAACCAAAGAGGGAATAAAACAAAGGTCCCTTTCTGCTTGCCAGAATTCTTTGGGTTGAAACTAACTTCTTTCCATAGTACGCGTTTCTAATTCTAAAGGCTTGATCAGACCTCGGACTCAAAACCGCTAGGTACACATACTGCATGGTCTTCACTTCTTCATCTATTCTACAAATTTTCAAAAAATCAACTATGAGCAATTACTCTGCATTTAGATGTATAAAAACTCTGCTCACTTCAGAATAAACAAAACATCAGAGTCACTCCCGGACCCAGTACAACCAGGTCCCAACAGCTTCCCTTCAATGATTACCCATAAAGTAAACAACAAAAAGCATTTAAAAAGGAGAAATAGATATATTCATGTGTTCATGCAGTATAACACACAAATGCATCTAAAGCTAGTCCTTGAATTGTTTTTCAGGAGTCACTGAGGCATAGAGGTAAACATGCCAAGGTTGTCAAAAATGACAAACATTTGTGTTTCTAATAATATAAATTCTTTTAAAAAACCTCAAGTTACATCTGCTAATCTAAACATTTACCGGTATACTTTGACCTACATAATAGAAATAGAGAAAAATATGTGAATTATGAATAAAATAGCACTTTTTAATTATGTTCCCAGTTTTGTTCAATCCAAAGAACTATTTTTGTCAATTATCATTTTTAAAGTGGACATATTATCGTTCAGTTTAGAATACCTTTTGGTTAAAATTTATCGGCCTATAGAGTTTTACTATGATATGGCATC